GTAAAGGAGTTATGAAAATTCAAAAAGGGTCTCTTGTTGTTTTTACTGCTAAAAAACAAAACAATTTGTATATTTGTCATGCTGAACCTGTGCTTGATTCTGTTAATTCTGTGATAGGTGATAAATCTGTTTTATGGCATAATAGATTAGGTCACATGAGTAATAAAGGATTAGAAATTTTGCATAAAGGAGGTCACTTTGGTAGTGATAAAATATCCCCCATCCCTTTCTGAATGGGGTTGCTGAAAGGATGAATAGAACTCTCTTAGAGAGGGTGAGGGCTATGTTGGCCACATCTGGGCTCTCCAAGAAGTTCTGGGGAGAAGCTGTTTGTACTGCGGCCTATTTGATTAATAGGTCTCCTTCTGTTCCCTTAGGAGGGAAATGCCCTGAATTTGTGTTCACGGGCAAACCTCTTGATTTAAATAATTTGAGAATTTTCGGGAGTGCTGGCTATGTGCATCAAAAGATTGATAAGTTAGAACCTAGATCTAAGAAATGTGTTTTCTTAGGATATCCTGAAGGGGTAAAAGGTTATAGGCTTTGGAATAAGAGTGAACCGGGGTTTAAGGTAGTGATAAGCAGAGACGTTGTCTTTAATGAAAATGAATTTCCTTGTTTACCTTTACATGTTCCTATTCCTGAAAATGATGCTCCAAATGAGGTGGAGCAAAAGCCTATTATTAATCAACCCAAATCATTTCCTGAAGAAAAATTGAATGATATAATTATTGAAAATCAAGATGAGATTATTCCAAATGAGGTGGAGCATGATATGCAGGAAATAGATAACATGCATGATTTGAATGATTATCAACTCACTAGGGATAGAAATAAAAGAACCATTAGGAAACCTGAAAGATATAGAGATTGCAATTTGATTGATTGTAATATGTCTGAGTTTGCCTTTAATGTGTTTGAATCCCTTGAGTGCAATGAACCTAAGACTTATAAAGAAGCATTAAGGTCAAAATATTCTGAAGAATGGATTAGTGCTATGAAGAGTGAGATGGAATCCCTAAAAATTAACCAAACATGGAAACTTGTTCCTAAACCTGCTAGTTGTTCTGTAGTGGACTGTAAGTGGCTGTTTAAGGTGAAACAAGAATCTGAAAGTGTTAGGTTTAAGGCTAGGTTAGTAGCTAAGGGATTTACTCAAAAGGAGGGAATTGATTATGCTGAAATTTTTGCTCCTGTTGTCAAATTCACTACTGTTAGAATTATGCTTGCTTTAGTTGCTCATTTTAATTGGGAATTAAAACAAATGGATGTAACTACTGCTTTCTTGCATGGTGATCTTGATAAAAATATTTATATGCACCAACCTGAGGGCTTTGTGGACCCTAAATTGCCTGATCATGTGTGTTTGGTAAAAAAGGCTTTGTATGGTTTAAAACAATCACCTAGGCAATGGAATATTAGATTTGATAAATTCATGCAATCTTTAAAGTTCAAAAGGAGTTCTGCTGATCATTGCCTGTATTATAAGAATATAGACTCTGTGCCTGTATTTCTTGTAATTTATGTGGATGACATGTTGATTGTTAGTCCTTGTTTGAAGTCTATTGAGCATGTTCAAAAATGTCTTTGTGAAAATTTTGACATGAAAGACTTAGGTGATGCTAAAAGAATCCTAGGCATGAATATTATTAGGGATAAAAACAAATCTACTCTAGTTTTAAACCAAAGTTTCATATGTTGAAAAAATTTTGAGTAAATTTGCTATGTCTAATGCTAAATCTGTGAATGTGCCTCTTGCTTCTCATTTTGTGTTAAGTAAGGATCAATCTCCCAATACTGAAACTGAAATAAATGATATGAAGAAGGTGCCATATTCGAATGCTATAGGATCTGTCATGTATCTCATGGTTAGTACTAGGCCTGACATTGCATATGCGGTTAGTTGCTTGAGTAGATATATGTCAAACCCTGGTATGCCTCATTGGAATGCCTTGAAGTGGCTTTTAAGATATTTGAAATCCTCTGTGGATGTAGGATTAACCTTTTCTAAGTGTTCTGAAGGTGTCAAACTTGCTGGCTATGTAGATTCCAATTATGCAAATGATAGGGATAATAAAAAATCTACCACTTCCTATGTGTTTACTTTGTGTGGCTCTTGCATAAGTTGGAAATCCCAATTACATCCCATTGTTGCTTTATCTACTACTGAATCTGAGTATGTTGCTGCCACTGAAGCTTTCAAAGAAGCTATCTGGCTTAGGAGCCTTATATCTGAAATTGGTTTTCTTGATAAAAATATGGTTGTATTTTCTGATAGTCAATCTGCTATTCAACTTTGCAAAAATCTTATTTTTCATGATAGAACTAAACATATTGATGTTAGATTTCATTACATTCGGGATATAGTTGAAAAGGGTATTGTCAAGTTGGAGAAAATTCCCTCAGAATTTAATCCTGCTGACATGGGTACTAAGTGTTTGCCTGCTGAAAAATTTATCTCGTGTCAAAGAATCTTGAATTTTGATTTTGGGTAATTTTCCTTTGCTTTGTGTGTTGCCTTTGTGGCCTATTAACTTGCTTTGTGCTTGTTAGTAGCTTTGTGATTTTTTCCCCTTTGAACTCGATGACCGTTTGGTAGAGTTCGGTCCTTTGTGGACTTGGTATGCTTGGTGATTTTACCCCCGATCTTTGTGATCTGAGTTTACTTAGTGTATTCTCTTCCATTGCTTGTATCTTCTTTGTGATTATACAGGTAATAATTTGGCGATGATGAGTCCTGCAGTTCCGTGTTTTTCCTCTGTGCACTACCTTGGGTCAAAGGTGGAGATTGTTGCTATTTGTTGGCCCAAAGCTTCTGGCCCGTTACCAAAAGGCTCATTTCCCTTGTGTTTATTTGATGTGCCCTAGCCTTTATCTGATGTGCCCTAGCCCCTCTATTTTCTTCTCCTACCCGATGGTTCTCACCTCCCAGTCTTCGTGATCTGATGGCCGCCGCTTGTGAGCTCCCATCCGTAGGTCGGCTCCCTCCTTCGTTTTCTTCCCTAGCTCCTCTCCCGTGTCGGCTGCCCCCTTCCATATATATGGGTAATGGGTTGGTAGTAGCTCGGGAGAGGGATGAAGAGGAAGAAGATCTGAGCTTGAGCTCTCCTCTGATTTGTGTGATCTCTCTCTTTCTATCAGCGGCGAGCTCTCCTTTTGGTCCTTGGTGGTGCACTAGAGAGGAGAACGAGGACTGGTTGAACAGGCTTCTGAGCCAAACAGCGACGTTGATTTACAACATGACTTACATGATTTTAGGATAGGCGCATGGATCCCTGTGAAGCTAAAATCATATGGAGCATAGTTTTTGTTCCACTTGTACCCTTAGTGACATTTGACTATTTTGTGAAAGTTTAGGAGCAGTGTTGCTATTTTGACTCCTCATCTATAGTCATGGTAGATCCGGACTAAAGGAAGGTAATCAGAAAAGAAGTTATTTTTAGATTGAATCAGCGGTAGTGCGAGAGGAAGAACACTAATGCCTCTACATTGATAATGAGTCTGCATTCGGAGCTTCACTTTTGAGAAAGTGTGGATCTTACCAAATAGTTACACATTAATTGAGTATGCTTCTCCTAAGAGGGATTAGAAGATATCTGGATTAGTGATGTAGTTATAGTTTGATCTGGGTATACGAGACTTTGTAAGTACTTTTCTTTCAAAGGGCTCAGTGTTTCTATGCTTGCTCTTTACAAAAGTTCATAGTATAAGAGCTCGCCACTTGCAGATAGTCTCTATGGTTGCATGACACAACAGTCGTATGAACCTTGTGATCAAATTTAGAGCATCGCAGCACACTTTTCAGTCGAGTGGGAGTATGATGAGATTTGGAGCGCTTTGTGGCTGTAATATTAAAACCATTTCATGTCACACCCCGAGCCCTTGGGCCCGTTGGCGCGTGCAAGCCGTGGGACCCACCGAGAGCAACTCGATGTCGGCTAAAGTCCACTGCCAAAATGCTAGCACTAGTTGTTCTTGTGCCTTGGGCTTTTCTCTATATAAACCACTAACATTTCTTCACACTAGTCCATGTGAGACTAAAGTGTGGGTGTCACATGTCATTCTTGTTATGGGAGTTGTGATAAGGTTAATGAGTTAGCGAGATCTGAAATTATCTGTATCTACAGTGATTTGGTAGCTAACGGAACGATCCTACCCTTGCTTGAAGTTCTCCCTATAAATAGGGGGTGTGCATTTCATATCTCATACACTTCTCCGAATACTCAAATTAGCAAGGGCTTAAGAGAATTGATTGGAAGTGGCCGTGTGGGCTTGTGAAATTACTCCCTATATACTTTGATTGAGAGAAAGTATGGAGTAACCAAGGGATAAATATTCCACTTGAGATCTCTAGGATATTAATCATATTTAGAACTTATATAATGCAACATAATAGAAATAAGAATTTCTCTCATATCATTTATTCTGGATATTTGGTATCTTCTTTACATACAGATTGCTCAATTCAGTGAATAAAATACTTACTTAGATTCATGAATGAAGGTGAAAGTAAGAAAAACCATCCTGTACATCAATGTATTGCAAACGCTGGGAAAATGTCCTTCTTAGTAACAAGCATTAAGAAAATGTCCTCTTGGAGAGACAAATTTAACTTTTTTTTGCCTCATGCAAGAATGCTGAAGGCGTAGCAAATACATCTTTTATTCAACACGGTTCATTTAATGAGAATCCTACAATCTGTCTCATGCTAAAACAAGTATGTTATTAGTGTCCATAATAGATTGTAGGATTTCTTTATTCCGTGGAAGCGAAGCTTTACACGATCAACTTACTAATGAACTCCTCTAACCCCCTGACACAACCCCCGTCACCACCACCACCACCACCACCACCACCAGCCAGCACAGCCGCCTCCTTCACTCTCCTCGCATCGCCTTCAACTCTCCATCCTCCATCATCTCCTCACTCTCCTCCCTATCTCTTCGCCTCTCACAACCCCGCCCTCGCGCCTCCCAACTCCACTCATCGATCCACATCCCCATCCCGCTCCCCCTCACCACCCCTGCGTTCACCCTCTGATCCCCATCCTCGGCCACGCCAGCACTCTCACCCCCGCCAGCGCCGCCTCTGTCACGCGAGTTCCATCCGCAGTGGCTGACGAAACCCCCCGACCGCTCGGTGATGGAGTATGTCTTCTTGTTCTACCCAACCGTTTATTATCATTCCCCTGTCCTTCACTCTCCTCACGGAGCTGTTTCAGGAAAAAAATCGCACGTGTTGCGAAATTAACATTTTATAACGAAGATTCCAGTATGTAAATTTCATCTGCTTTCTACATTCTCAGGAAAAGTTGGCAAAGTAAATCGAAATTTATGATAAATAATGCAAAGTATAAAGTTTAACGCGGGACCATCAGGTGCGACCAGGTAAAAACTGCTGCATAGCTATCCCCATGTTCCACTAATAAGAATTTAACGAAATAACCCAAAAGAGAATAAAAGACTACGAGAATAAAGACGTGCACAAAAGATCCGAATATAAACTGTGGTTACACAAATGTTAAAACAAAAAAACAATGTGTACGATTAAGACAGGCTCAACAGTATGATTTTTAGCATTCAATTGTGTATGGAACAAAAATACCTCTATTCAGATAGATATTGCTAATTACTCGAAAAGAAAAAGAACATGTTAACATTTAAGGACAAAAGAGTTCTATAGGATAATTTGATTTTTGTTAAATTTGTATTACATTTAGGTTTATTTTAGCAAGCGTTAGACATGCAAACAACCAAAATGTACCCAGTATTGTAGGCTGAACATATGATATAAATTTAATAGAAGATCAAACAAAATATAGACAAGTCTATCAAAATGAAGTGAGGTTGAAGCTTTTGAGGAGTAAAGTTGATAAACACGTAAAATATGCATTATCTTAGTGTGTTTCAAGCATGATTTACGGGTATTTAATGCATATTTCGTGTTTAGATCGAAGATACTGCTGTGGTTTGTGTTTCTATATGTAGGTATTGGCTCAAGATTAAAAGATTCGATGATCGTTGGAAGTTAAACAAGAGTTTGAAGCAACAACAAGATTTCGAATGCATGGTTTGAGAAGAAAATGGATGCACGAGTATGAAAAATTGGAATTTCGAAAAGTGGAATTTCGACGATGATGCAATCTGAATCCGGAAAAGCTCAAAAGCTAAAAGTTATAGATCTCTTTAACAGCTTTTCAATACAACTTGAATTACCTCATTCTGAGGTCGGACGCAAAAGTTATAGTTAAAATACCAAAGACTGTACAAACAAACACAAAATCAGCAAGATAGATTCCACCACATCCTGGTGTGGTGCGCACCATACTTGTGGCGTGAGCCTTATCTTTTTCAAAAAAAATTTGACACATATAAATAGATATTTTGGCTTGGGGTTTAGAGATCTTTTGTTATGTTCTCTTAGCCGTCAATTATCAACTATTTTAGAGTTCAAGTATTGAAGGAAGACACTAATTTCTTGTACAAGATTGGATTGTAAATTCTTATTTTAAAGCTTTCAATTGAAAGACGGGTTAATTATGATGTAGGACGCTTAATCTGAGTTGGAGTCTGTTTAGATTAGAAATATAGATTAGGAAATAAATTCAATTTTAGAGTCAAATTAGATTAGGAAACAAAATCAATTTTGATTCATGGTTTGTTTCCTCTATTATAAGGAGTCTTTTTATGATAGAATTTGACACTTTCTTTTTGTAATTCTAGTCTTACTAGGAGTCTTATTTGTTTATCTATTTAAAAAGAGTCATGTAATCACAAAGGAGAATAACTTTTCATCAATAAAATTTCTCTTTTTCAATATTTTCCTCGTGGATTCGAAGTTCTTCGTGGATTCGAAGATCGTTCTTAGTGGATTCTGAGGCTACTACTTCCGTGCTGCGTCAATTGGTATCAGAGCCTTGTTTCTCCGATCCGATGGCAGGTGATGAAGCCCCTATTTTTCGAACTGAGTTCGACGTGCTAAAGGCTGATGTTAATCAGATGAAGACTATCATGGAGCGACTAGCGGCAACAGTTGAGCGTCTGAACACGGCGAGAGTTTAAAATCGCGTTGATGATCGCCAACGACGTGATCTGACTTCACAAGATAAATTCTACAACGATGATCATAGAGGCTACCAAAGAAAGGAGAACTATGATGCTAGAGAATTAAAAATACCATCCTTCAATGAAAAGCTTTATGCTGATGATTTTCTTGATTGGATTGATAAAGTAGATAAGTATTTTGAGTATAATATAATCCCAGAAGATTGGAAAGTTAAATTAGTGGTCTACATGCTTAAAGAAAAAGCATCTGCATGGTGGGATGAAGTACTGATAAATCGATACCATCAAGGAAAGGATCAGGTTCGAACGTGGGCAAAGATGAAGAAATTATTGAGAGATCGTTTCTTACCTTCTAACTACAAGCAATGACAGGTGTCTCTAGTGGCAAACAACAAGACGCTCACCCCCGAAAAGGAAGATTTTGCCACCATCAAGATTCATCCTGAGGTTCCTGATGTTAATGATGATATGTTAATGAAGAAGAATATTCTACATGATATTGTGAATGATGTTACACATATTGATATTGTCCCGATGGAGAAGAAAGATAAAATAGAGAGTGAGAAAATTGATGGTATGTGTGCATTGCTTGGTGGAGAGCTTGAGATAAAGGAGATGAAAGAATTGTGTATGGAGTATGAGGAAGAAAATTATTTTTTTGAAGCAATAATCATCAATAATTTTAATAATGGTGAGATGATACCGTCAACACTAGAGTATGGGAAGCAACAAGGAAAATATTTGAAGGAGTTTTTCATGTCAGAGCCACATGCTGTCAGTTACATACACTTGTCATGGAAAAGATTCATACACAAGTACATGCTGTCAGTTACATACACTTGTCATGGAAAAGATTCATACACAAGTTTGATACAAAAGAAGTCCTAGCAGAGGAGGTAAAAGAACAAATGGAGAAATTTGATACAAAAGAAGTCCTAGCAGAGGAGGTAAAAGAACAAATGGAGAAAATCAATACTAAATACAAGGTGGATGCTGATCATTGCAAGAGAAGAAAATTATTTATCAATGAAACTACTATTCTAACAAATATAAGCTCGGGTCGAGCTTCTTTCAACAAGGGGTGACTGGTGTAGGACGCTTAATCTGAGTTAGAGTCTATTTTAGATTAGGAAATAAATTTAATTTTAGAGTCAAATTAGATTAGGAAACAAAATCAATTTTGATTCATGATTTGTTTCCTCTATTATAAGGAGTCTTTTTAGGATAGAATTTGACACTTTTTGTTTGTAATTCTAGTCTTACTAGGAGTCTTATTTGTTTATCTATTTAAAAAAAGTCATATAATCGCAAAGGAGAATAACATTTCATCAATAAAAATTTTCTTTTTCAATATTTTCTTCGTGGATTCGAAGATCGTTCTTCGTGGATTCAGAGAACACCCTTGGTGGATTCCGAGGTTATCACTTCCGCGCTACGTCAAATTATTTCCTCTCTTTTATTAATTTCTTCTTATGATTGATTAACATATTTATTTGATGTATTCTCTTATCCCAATCATGTGTGAGTAGATTCTTTGTCTAGGATTGGGAAAGAATCCAACTTTTTGGTGATTGATGATGAATTAATATAGGTTCTTGGTGAAAGTTTAAATCTTTAAACTTAATTTTTTATGTTTTAATTTTGTTGATTCACTTCATCACCGTTTTAGCAATCATAGATAATTAATTGAAGGACTGAAAGGTGAAGATTAATACCAGACCTCTAGAAATTAAGCAGGGAACTCGAGCCACGAAAGTAGGCTAGGTTCTTTGGGGATTTGATTAGGATTAACATAAAGCTTACTGGGTTTAATTTAAACTTGATTTCATGAAAGTAGGTTAATTGGGATTAATTAGACACGATCTTTAGCACTTAAAAAGGCTTTAGATTAATTTAGGCTAATTCACCCTTTCTAGTTTAAACCAACACTAAGAAAAAAATAATTTATCATTGAGCATCGAAGTTGTGGTGAAAACCTAATCCTAGCCCTTCATTATATTGAATTCCACCTGATTAGCTATTTATTTTATTTCTTTTAATTTTAATCTTTTCTAATTTACTCATTAGTTTAGCTAGTCGAATAACATGAAATTTGATAATTAACTCCTAGTCCCTGTGGGATCGACCCTGATAGCTACAACGAGTCTGTACACTTGCAGATTTTGCCTACTAAGTTTTTGGTACCGTTGCCGGGGACTATGGTGTTAATATTGAGTGCTTATGTTATTAAGCTAGACTGGATTTTTTATATTCTCTTCGCTACTCACTTTCTTTTATGCAAGGGCGTCAAACAGAAGTACGCAACGAAAACAGTCCTGAACTATCGGTGACTCCTGCAGAGATAATAAGGTATATAAGGGAGCAAAGGAACACAGAACAAGCTACAATGTGTGATCAGAATCAGCTTCTTAAGGATTTCGTTGCCCCAAATGCTCAAGGCACGCATTCAAGTATTACAAGGCCCACTGTTGAAGCTAATAATTTTGAGCTCAAATGCTCAAGGCACGCATTCAAGTATTACAAGGCCCACTGTTGAAGCTAATAATTTTGAGCTAAAACCATCACTGCTCTCAACAAGTATTACAAGGCCCACTGTTGAAGCTAATAATTTTGAGCTAAAACCATCACTGCTCTCAATGGTTCGGCAAAATCAGTTTGGAGGAGGTGCTACTGAAGACCTGAATCTCCACCTGTCGATTTTCTTGAAGTATTACGACACTTTGAAGCTTAATGGAGTGACCAATGATGCTATTCGACTCAGACTATTTCCGTTCTCTTCAAAAGACAATGCTAGGGCTTGGTTGCACTCATTGCCTACTGGGTCCATCACCAATTGGGATCAGTTGTCCAGGATGTTTTTGCAAAGTATTTTCCCCCAAGTAAAATAACATAGATGAGAAACCAGATCACAAGCTTTGTACAGAAGGAAGGAGAGTCACTCTATGAAGCTTGGGAACACTACAAGGAATTATTAAGGATGTGTCCTCACCATGGACTGAAGAAGTGCTTAATTGTTCACACCTTCTACAACGGGCTCACTTACAATACTCGGATGACTATTGATGCTACAACAGGAGAAGCTTTGATGAACAAAATAATAGATGAGGCATACACTCTCATTGAAGACATGGCTCAAAATCGCTATCAA